TCGGTGAAGTGGGTTTCCGATACGATCATTACATCGATTTGCTGGTGTTTTAGAAAGAGTTCTAGTTCAAGTTTGTGTTGCGCTAGACCGTTGGCATTCCAAAGAGCTATGCGTCTTGGTTTTATTTTGCGTCGGGGCGTATTTATCCATGATGAGTGTTAATAATGATAGTAAGTTATTAATTTGTTCTGATTGTTTTTCGATTAATTTTTCGAGTCTAGAGAAGTTATCTGTGTTTTGTGAATTGGGAACACTATTTTGAGAATGGTCTCTATGGGTTTTCGGATTGTTTTGATTTCCTTGTACTGCTTAGGCATAGGATATTGAAGTAGTAGAGAATTTTTGAGGACTAAGTACTTGGTTGGTTATCTCATTGGCTCTGGGTTTAGGGTACTTATTTGTGTACAAGGTTTTGTAGGCTGAGCAACCTTTATAGTTCGCAGGGTGGTCACTTTGACAGTGGATGCACTTCGCTGGAGTTTCCGGTGATTTAATGCACTGGTCAGTGTGGTGTGTACCTGCACATTTAACGCAGCGGAAGGTTGGTTGCAGCATTTTTGCGTGTGACCGTATCTTTGGTACCTTTTACATTGTACTATCTCTTTTTTTATAAAAGGAGGTTCGAATTTGACTATTGAGTTCATTAATCAATTGATGTTATAAATTTGTTTATTATTTGGCTTTTGTTTTAAGTCTATGGAAAATAAGGATAGCGGGTTTTTCGAGATTCTATGTTTTATGTTGCTGATGTTTGTTACTTCGTGGCCATATTTTAGGAGTTCGGTCTTCAATTCGTCCAAGTTAGCTGAGTGGTAGATGTTGCGTAGTACCACTCGAAAAGGTCTTTCTTGTTTAAGTTGATACGTGTGGTAGTTTGCGTTCAATATTTTTAGTAGCTTTGTTAGTTTTCTATTTGAGTCTGGATTAGTCGGCAGAATTTTGACTTGGTTGTTGTTTATTTCAAGTTTGTAATCCTCTTTGTTAATATCTTTCTCAGTGGACTTTACCTATGTTTGAATGTCGATGACATCGTCAATGAAGATAGGTGGGCGAGGGGGATTTTTACGTGTATTTTAGTTAGTTGGTGTTTCAGCTATGTCCATTGAGTCGTTTGTGGATTCTAGTACTGCGTATCTATTATAGGTAGTTACACCGCTTGTTGACTATTTTAGCTAGTATTTGCGTTTGTTTTAACTGTTTCTAGCTTACGCTTTTTAATGCTTTTAGTGTCGATTGTTAGGAGGGATATATTGTCCTTTTTCCACGGAGGAGGTAGAGCGGTGCAGTTATGGTTTTGCTCAAAAGAGCCTGATCGAGATACTTGGGCCATCATCGATCTAGTTAATTCAATTTGAAATAACTAGTCGAGGGGCTATGATTCGGATCAAAGATTATGAGCGTTGGATTTTCTACTAGTTATTTAAGAAACACTTGGATTAAGTCTGTTTCTATTCACTTTCGACGGATGGGCGTCACGTGTTTTTTTGTGAACTTTACAGCGCACTAGACTCACGTCTGCACGCTTCGGCACTCAACAGGAAACGTCGAACAAATACAATCGGATTGAATGACGACAATTGCTTAATTACGGCTATGAGTAGAATCTAGATTATAATGTTAGGGGGTTTTGCCAAAGTTCCAAAGGGAAGGCCTCGGTGTCCTTTCATCTCCGATATATATATGTACTTTTGTGTAGTTTTACTAAGCACCTGTTACTACGTTTAGCATTATCGGGTCGACGCAAAAATGAAAATTGTAAATGGCAAGGACACTAAAATTTCGAAAGCTTCGAAATGTGTATTCTTAAACATTATAGTGATAGAAAAAAATACATTATTGGCTATATATTTATATATGATTAATAATAATGATATGATATAATTGTACAAGGTATTCCAATTTTTTTCATAAAACAAAGTCAGAGTATTCTATGTTTAAAAATAAGAAAAAACATCATCTACTTATTTAAAATTTTGTTGTTGTATTTAAAAAACTTATTTAAAAAGGCGATAAAAAACAATACGAAAGAACAACGAGCTAACAATCTGCCGTTCGATAAAGAATAGAATCAGATTAGTTAAGAAATGCAGAAGTTAAATTTGTTATATTAATAGTTCCTTTTTCATTTTCTTTAGTTTTGATGTCGCGTGTTAATTCTTGCTGTGTAAATTTTTCTGTTTAAAGTTTGCCGTAGACAATGTAATACCAGGTGACCTTGAGTCACACGCAATTAATTCTGCTCTATTTATTCATTGTTCCGAATAAAACAGTAAAATCGAATAAAATATTTTAAATTTTGGACGAGAGGTTTATTGGGATATGCACGTTACAAGTTTATACAATAATCTGATTTTTTTATTAGGATTATCATACAGAGTACTCCAGGAGAATATTGAACTTTATCAACAAGTTTAACAAATTATTCTGTATCAAAAGAGGTTTATACACTGTTTGTGGACTGTTGGCCACACGTTTTCGAGTTATTTGAAAATATAGATGCTACATGTTATGATCTTTGTGGGAACTAAAATAAATAAATAAAAATAAAATAAAGTAAATAAAGTCATTGCAGTTCGATTTATCCAGTAATTACCACTGATAATTTTGTAACTAAAATAAGCAAATGTTTTGTAATATATTTTTTAAAGAAATTGAGTGTTGTTATTATTATTTGTCAATTCTCTTATTTACCTAATTGATATTGGACGTGTACTGAATATTTACACGTTTTACTAAATATTCGCATACCCCTTTTATTATATGTGATTCGGATGATTTTATAAATGTGTACAGGAGGTTGTTATTTTTTAATATTACTTTTTATTTTGCATAAAAAATCGAATTAATTGGTATATAAAAAAGTATTTGAACTCACCAAAAACGGTACCAATGACAACGAATTTTCATTGAAGAAATGATTCTCAGAAAATGTTTGTTCCACCACTACATATAGCTTATGAAATAGTGTAACTTTGTCCTAAGGATCTTTTTTATAAAGCCATAAATAGAACGGAGATATTTAGATGTTAGCATTTTAATGACTCACTCTGTATAATATTCGCGACATGTATTAGATATTAGTATTTATTATAATGGCTTTGACAGAAACTGTTAAAAAAATTAAATTACAGTTAGCCTTGTTTAAAAAATGTTAGTTATAACTTATGCATTCAAAAATACAAAATTCCATTGGTTTGTATAATTAGAAATGGGCAGCTTATATCTAAAATATATAGTAACAGAAACATATAAATTTTAACATTTCGCTTATACAACGATTTCTCAATACATGTTTAAGTTATTTATATTATTGTAATAACTTAGCTTATATTTCTTCAAATAATGAAGATTATGATTTTTCATGAAAAAGATGCTAATTAGTAATTGATTATCAATGGCAAAGAAACTTGATTATATCTAGTTTCCTGATTAACGAATACTGGTTTCCATGAAAATTCATGTTCGTCTAAATATGACGTATGAATTAAAAATTTACGATTAACTAACAATTACAATGTTTCTTTGTAGATATTTGGGAAATTATTAATAAAGCATTAAACTTTAATTATTTACTGTGAAAGTAATTGAATTTCTTAATCGTGAAATATTATTTTGAATCTATTTAAACTTTGGATCATTTCCTAAGAAACAGGTGGTGTATTAACTTTACTGACTTTTAATATCGTTCCCAGAGAAACAAAATAAATCCATCATTTAGAATGCTATTTAAATCTTTTTATCTAAACTAACTTTTAAAGCAACTGACAAACAGTTAATTTCTTTTTAAAATCACTTTAAAGCAATTTATAAAGGCCTAATTTAATTAAAAGTTAATTTTAACCAAAGTGAACATTCATGTTAAATTAAATATCAAATAATAGAACGAATACTGGATATTATTAAATTGGAGGTACAATTCATATGAAGGATAAATTTATTCGATAAAAATAAGTTGAAAACGCATATTAAAAATTTTAATCGCATAGCAGTTAAATTTGATAAAAACTTTGTTTTGTTTATTTGAGACAATAGTGTGATTTGAGACAATTTTGTTTATTTGAGAAAATAGTGGTGTGTAGATATTCTTAAAAATCTTCAAAGTGAAATTCATACAAAAATGTATTATTTATTTACATTTTTGTGAAAAAAATTAACAAATATCCAGGAATCAGCGGAATATCTATGTAGGTATTCGTACACGTCCAAGGATATTATAAAAATTATCTCGATTGATCGAAAATTAGCTCGATTTCTGAGTATTTAAGAGTAAACATTCACTGTTTAATATGCCTGTTAATTGGCGGATATTTAAAGTAGATAGATAATTAATTCCCCTTCATCATAAATTGATTATCCTATTACGGATTACTGAAAAATGCAAATCCTAATTCATAATTTCACCCTGAGTTCATTAAAATTTATAAAAAGGGAACAATATTTAGGAAGACATAAGTAATACATTTTTGAGATTGTCTCGAGAGATTAATTCCTCATAGTCAATCATAAAAGTCTGCATACACCTATCGAGCTTTGTGTATTTGACTTACAATAAAAACCAAAAAAGCGCTTTTGTCACAAAATTACATATATATAAATGAAACCATTATTTATTTATTATTGCTTAGTCCCTGCCTTTCGACATTGGACCTTGGAACTGTCGGTTTTACGTATCTTATACCTATTTCGCTTCTTATACAGGATGGTTGGTAACTGGTGGTACAAACGGAAAGGGGGTGATTCTACGCGAAAAAGAAATCGAAAATGTAGAATAAAAATTTTTCGTTTGAGGCTTTGTTTCCGAGAAAATCGATTTTGAATTTTCACTCGGTACGCGTAGGGTACGTTATAACGAATGTCACTGTAGATCGTGTTAAAAAAATTTTTTTTAATTTAAAAAAATTTTTATTCTATATTTTCGACTTCTTTTTTCGCATAGAATCACCCGCTTTCCGCTGGTACCACCAGTTACAAACCACCCTGTATATCTACCTTCCCACTTATCCACTCTATTATATTGCACTCTCTTAATTATTCTATCTCTAAAAACTAAAACTAAAAAAGAAAACTAAATACTAATGTAGTATCGTGGACGAAAAGCCTGAGAGATATCGGGCGAACGATGAACAATGTCGCGAGAGCCGAGGCGCCATCGGGCCCATCAATGTGTCATCGGTCTTTTCAAGTGCATAGTTTCGTAGAAAAGACCTACGTGACCCTGGCCACGAGCGTCTGCAGAACACGTGTGCGGTGGGCCTAGGGGAAGACAACAGAATGCTGCAACAGGGGGTCGAGAAGCAGCGTGCGAGTCGAGAAGTAGCGTGCGAGCGGAGAAGCAGAGCTTGCGAGTGGCGTTACCGAGAGAGTGTTGATTGCGTTTTGTGAGAGTCGAGTCGTATTCTAATCATCTAGTTGTGCTGCTTTCTGTACGTTTGGCGTGAATAGTTCAGTTAGAACAACAATCGTCTTTTCTATCTTCCATTCCTTTGTAAACACACATATATTATATCACGATATTACACTAATGACTGAAGAACTATTGCAATTTTGGGCTTTTTCCTCCTTGCCGTGCTTCCTTCCTGTCGTTCCTTCCCGTCTTGTATTGTACTTCTCTTCTTTATTATTGCTTTTGGTTCGACCTTCTCCAGTTTCATTTAGTGTTTTTTCTATGTCCTTTGGTCCTCTCGTTATTTCACATTCTTCTATTACATGTCTCAGGTCTTCTTCTTTCCTTTTACATAGTCTGCATCTTTTTTCCCCTCTTCTTTCCAGTATTCCCTTGCTTTGGTTTCTGCGTATCACTTTGTGTTTCCTTCTCCTTTTTCCCTTTACACTTCACTTTTTCCACAGAGCTGTCCGTCCTCGTGTTACCCTCGCCCTGAACCAAACCGAAAGTCGAAATCATTAATAATATATTGTGAAAGGAATTAAAATGATTAAAACATTTAACTAACTTTATTGATATGTGTCTTAACGTATTAGAAAAATTCATAGAGTTAGTGTTTTATTATAATATTTTGTACAATGAATAATAAATATATTATACAACAAAAAGGAACTTAATATAAATTAAAATAATACATATTTAATAGTATATGCTTTTTGTTAAGTTAGATTTAATTGTTAGAGTTACATCCGGTGACTCTCTACACATACCAGGCCCCACGTCGCGGTTGTCAGGTCGGAGACACAAGAAACCACGAAACCGATAGATCGCCGGTGACTATTCTAAGGATACAGAATAAGTGAAGTTTTACTGACGATACTGTGTCTGAGGAAAGCTAGGGGTGGGTGTGTCTAAGGACACAGAACAGGACTATCGGATTTGTTGATGAAAATTTTGGTTAAGGAAGTGAGGGCAGTAGACCTTATATTTTATTACAATTACAATTATAATTATATATTTATATAACTATATTTCATTACACGTAATAATCTTTAAGAGCCCCTAATAGATGACTGGATTTCACACTTTAGATAGTTGACTCAGGTGCGGTGTTATACAGGGTTCGATAGAATAACATGTAAAGAAAAAGGGAAAGAATGTAAGGAAAAAGTAGTATACAATTTTTTTGCTCGAAGCTTAGTTTTCTAGGAAATAGAGTTTGAACAAGTTTAGTTAAGAATTGGCTTAGTACACATTTTTCAAATTTATTTTTCGCAGAAACCAAGTGTTACGCCACGAGGCTTACCACAGGCTGTATTTTCTTTTTCTACCCGTCGCTCGCGGTCCTACAGTGTCGCAGGCAGATCATCTTATCTGCCCGCCGGATCATATACAATGTATCGACGAGCGCATAGTTGTCGCCAAGCAGCGAGCTCTAGAAACGTTAATTTTTGTCCGTTACGTTTTCCACACAAGAAGGGGCATACGTGATCATAGGCGCGAGCGATGGCATGACCCGAGCATAGTGGGGGTCGTCTTCCAAACAAGACAAAGAAATCATCGAAAGGCAATCAGTTCCTTCTGACGAGTCAAACGTTACACATCGAGAGGTCTGACGAGCAAAATCAAATAGTCTAACGAATTCCTTTAGAGATATCGTAAAGTCGAATCAACTTTCTGTAATATATTCATCATATTATTGTCAAATATATTATTTTATGTTAACCTGTTAATACAGTGTTACATTCATTGAACCACCTCTGTTATCTTAATCGAAACAGGGGAATGACTTTCGCGGCGTCGGTTAACAGAATCGTAGCGAGAATTTACATCTCTCGCTGACGCGTTTTCCTAGCGACCGCGTCTCTCCGCGAATGGTCGTAACATCTTGGTCCTTCGAGCCGGATACAGTGGCAAGTGAAAAGTGTTGACACGTAACCGGTTGAATCATTTGGTCTTCCAAGCCGTATCACGTGTTAAGTGAAAAGTGCACGCCAGTGACACCCACTACCATGCAGTGCCACGTGAATTCAACACAAACAGCAGCATAAGCGTTACCACTCCAGCGAAGTCACGCCAGGGACCATCAGTTTTGAAGAGGCATAACCCGGTGGTTGAAGAACGCAACCACGCAGCCTCATGCCAACAACTAGAGGGTCAACTTCCGCAAGAACACGCCTTACACGTCAAACGAGACACACACGGTGACGAGTAACATTTAAACTCACAATTACAAGGTAAGCTCGTTCATTGCATTCTCCTCACAATCTGCTATACCAATGGAGAACACAGAGGAAATTACCTCCTTACACCGGAGACGAGGCTTTCAAATCGGTCGATTTACCTCTCTATCGAAACGACTCGATGAATACGAAAAATCTAAACAACCGAATAAGGCCCATTTAACGGGCTATACGACACTACTCGACGACACGTGGAAACAATATTGATTATTACAAAAAGAATTAGAAGATTTAGGCGAGGAAGACGACGCGCGCGTTTCCGAGTTAACAAACACATATTACGATCTGGTAGTACGAATACACACTCTCATGGATGATACACCAGCTTCGTCGTCGAAATCGCAAAGTTGCGAGTCATCTAATGTCGCCGAGCCGACATCAATTAAACTACCGGAAATTCACCTGCCTACTTTCGACGGTACCATCGAAAATTGGCATTCATTTTACGACTTCTTCTTATCCACTATCGATCGAAGCGAGCGACTTGCATCCGTGCAGAAATTTCATTATCTACGATCTTCCTTGACTGGAAAGGCCGCGCGAAGTATGCAGTCGTTAGACATCACAGAGTTAAATTATTCAATCGCTATTGAAGTTCTTAAAGAAAAATTCGACTGCCACCGTCAAGTCTGCATGGGACTTGATTTTCGACTATCCGAAAATAACTAAAGAGACACTCGAAGCTATAGATGATTTTCTCGAGACGGTCAGAGTAAATCTCCAAGCTTTAGAAAAACTCTGTGAACCAGTCACTTCGAACGTCGTTCTTATCAAACTATTCACGTCGAAGCTACCCTCAGCCATCATTCGCAAATGGCAACGCACATTACCGGACAAGAAAATGCCGTCATATACACACTTGGTAGACTTTCTAAAAACACAGACGAACGGCGATAAAACAAGTTCAGCATCAACCGTGATAAAAGGGGCGTCCGATCAACACAACCGTCAGCGACCGAACGCGCCGCGAAGTTACGCATTCACAACTACACATAATATGTTGGTATGTCCGAACTGCCAAGGACAACGCGAATTATGGAATTGTGATGTCTTCAAAGCGAAGTCACCCAAAGAACGCCTTGAAACTGCCAAAAGAGGGTCGCTCTGTACCAATTGTTTAGGCAAGGGGCACGCTCTTACTCAATGCTCCGCCGGTTCATGTCGCATCTGTATTTGCATCAAGACCATGGTCATAGCAAATTACGAACACGCGTAAGCCGAACATCGAGCGGTCGATCTTCGCTTAGTTCATCGACCCCGCGTTCGTCACATCGTTCGAGACGCGCATCCACGTCTCCCCGAACGTGTCCCCGAACGTGTCCCCGAACGTGTCCCCGAACGTGTCCCCGAACGTGTCCCCGAACGTGTCCCCGAACGTGTCCCCGAACGTGTCCCCGAACGTGTCCCCGAACGTGTCCCCGAACGTGTCCCCGAACGTGTCCCCGAACGTGTCCCCGAACGTGTCCCCGAACGTGTCCCCGAACGTGTCCCCGAACGTGTCCCCGAACGTGTCCCCGAACGTGTCCCCGAACGTGTCCCCGAACGTGTCCCCGAACGTGTCCCCGAACGTGTCCCCGAACGTGTCCCCGAACGTGTCCCCGAACGTGTCCCCGAACGTGTCCCCGAACGTGTCCCCGAACGTGTCCCCGAACGTGTCCCCGAACGTGTCCCCGAACGTGTCCCCGAACGTGTCCCCGAACGTGTCCCCGAACGTGTCCCCGAACGTGTCCCCGAACGTGTCCCCGAACGTGTCCCCGAACGTGTCCCCGAACGTGTCCCCGAACGTGTCCCCGAACGTGTCCCCGAACGTGTCCCCGAACGTGTCCCCGAACGTGTCCCCGAACGTGTCCCCGAACGTGTCCCCGAACGTGTCCCCGAACGTGTCCCCGAACGTGTCCCCGAACGTCTCCA